AGCGCGCTCGCCTGAATTCGGTTGACTCATATTCCCTCTTGTTCAGGCATGAGTGCTGTTCGTCATTTTGGGAAAGTGCGATGCCATCAAAAAAGACGTCAGGACATGTTCCAATGCAATGCATATGGAGCTGGGAAAATAGCTGTAAGTGTTTCTGTACATGAGAACGTGGCTGGCTGTTACCTGATAGAGTTCTTTTCTCAGTACTGGACAACTATGGACCTCGTGTCATCCTCGAGAATGACTCACATAAGAGCGGACCAACGGTGAACTCGGTTCTGCAGGAGGTGGCAGAGACCGATGAAGCAAGTGTCGGAAGACTGTGGCTGCCTAATGAAGAAATCACATTGTAAAAAAACCAAAATAGATGATCGTAACGTTTATATATTTGCATTTTCCCAAGTTGTTATGTTTCTTTAATAGTCGTTGCATTCAGCCAATAGATGGCTCTCATTTTGATCTTCTAACTGTCACTCAAATTTATTTAAATGTATTGTTGTCCAATGCTTAGGCTGTAATCGTCGGGTATTACTGTTTTGTACCAAACTGATGCCATTTTTAATTGCTCTCGCTTTCTTTGTTTCTCCAAATGTTCGTGTCTAGGGACGATTTCTGGTTAGATTGGTTCGATATCTCTAAATTCTTTGTCAGTGTTTGTGGATATGCGCTTTCTGCGTAAAAGTTATTGAGGGCTATATAAAGCACTTCAATATTTAGGTGTAAAAACATTGAAAAGTAATGTAACGCAGCGCTGAGGAAAAATTTTGCAGAGTACGACCCCCGACTCACCCCACCCCTCAAAATTTCTCTCTGAACGACGCCTGCCCAGCTCCCGAAGAGGTGGTCGGGTGGATCCCGACCACCTCCTCTTGAAATTCTCCCAACTTCGCACCACTTTCCCAGAATGGTACAAGTAGGACACTTTGGTGGCAAGATTTTCCGGTTTCTCAAGGTAGCTGCATAAACTTCGTCGAATACCACCAAGCCGAACTGCACCAAAAATTACTACTTTGAACACATTTTGATGTGAACTAATCAGTGCCGGGTCGTAACTCGCTTCTTGTAAAGGTTGTTATTGGCGATATACTGCAACACTTCCAATAGAATGTTTTTATTAGAAGTGTGCACTTCAAAATAGAAGTGCTTTCGCGCTCTTAGGCTGCGTTCATACTTTGCTGCAGCGTACGCCAGCGTTTTCCAGCGTTCGGCAGCGAGAAGGATAGATATCGGATTTAGCGTTTGCCAGCATCACCAGCGTACGCTGGGGTGACGCTAGTGCACGCTAGCGTAGCGAGGGCAAGGAACGTGTAGGTATCAATGTAGCGTCTCACTATGTGTTTGCCATCCGCGCGGGGACGCGAACGGCTCGATTAATGTATCGGTGAATTTGCGGCATGGGAGGCCGGTCGTCTTCGGACGCGGCCGGATTGCCATTGGGCGCATGGCAGGGTAATCTGCGCACACCCCCCACCGCTGCCGCGATCGCGACGCGTACTTCGTGAGGTCGGACAACTGCGTCCCACGTTTATTAATGTCTTGGTTGACGTCTTGATCCACCTACGTTGGCAGTGCGCCAACATAGACGACCGATTGCGTCCGAATCTCCTACTCAACCATTTTCGTCCGTTTTTGAGCGATTTTTTGCCCTCTTTCGCCTCGACATCCCTTACTTAATGCTGCTTAGCTACTTAGAAGTGGTTATATGTCGGGAAGTACTTTTGAGTCTTGCTAATAATCTTGGACTATTGAAGCAGCTTTCAGTAGACAATTGAATGGTACTTCGAGTGGTAACTTCGGTAAGTTTTTTAGTAGACATAAAATTGTGAAACAAACTATCGCTGTCTACACACTTCAGTCTACCCTTCACTGTTTCACCCAGCTGGCCAAAATTTTTTGTCACCAGTATATTTGGCTACAGCTCTATCCCCAAAATGAGCGTGCCCAAGGGGTAAACTAACCTTTTTAAAAAAAGATTCCAAAAAATTGTGCCAACCTTCAAGCGATGCATTTTTGAAGAACTTCATCACTCGTGAAGCTAGTTAATATTTTCCGGAAATGGTAGGTTCATTCTTCGTATTAAATTTTCGTAGCGAAACGATTGTTGAGTCAGACAGCAACTTCAGTGCACGAAAAACAGCCTTTTCCCTACGCCAAGGGAGTTAATTTCACCTCTGTTCCATGAGCCTTGAGAATTGCTGAGCTACGGTCTTTTTTATACTTTACCTCGATTGATGACCCTTTTACACTTACATATTTGCGAGTTGGAACTGGCATTCTGACCTTGTCAAAGGATGATGTCCCTCATTTATTACTGCCACAGGGGTGAGTAGTGAAGGTGCGCCAAATTTTTGTTTATACTTGCAGAAAAAAAGGGAACCAGCATGGAAGGTCATTGTAACTATAGCCCGAGTGTGCATAAGGAAGAATTATTCAATAGCAATGATAACAAATTTTCTGATAAACTCCTACCTGAGTAAAGTGAACTGGACTTACCGTGCAGAGGAGCACTCATAAAAACTGGAAGCTGTTTTGAAGTAGGATAGATCAGAGCTCAAAAGTACTCTCGATATAACCACTTCTAAGTAGCTACCCAGCATCAAGAAATGTCGGGCGAAAGAGGGCAAAAACTGCTCAAAAACCCGCAACGAAAATGGTTAAGTAGGAGATTCGCACGCAATCGGTCGTCTATGTTGGCGCAGTGCCAGCGTAGGTCGATCAAGTAGCCGATCAAGTTATTAACAAACGTGGACGAGTTGCCCTGTACACGACACGCATCGCATTAGCGGACTGAGGGTGTCAATTACTGCCGATGCGCCCCACTGGCAATCCGGCCGCGCCGAACGACATACACCCTGCGGCGCGTGCAACCGCACCGCACTATTAGACGATACCGTATACTAAATTGGTATTGCATAATTCTGTGGTTTGGTGTTGAAACGGAATGTCTATTACATTGGCATCGGAATTGAACGACCTGTGAAAACGCTCGTCTTTTGCAGGTACCATATCCTTTTTTTTGGGCTGATCTGTTGGAAATTGTCCCATTTGTGATTTTTTAGTGTTCTTATGAACGTTCCTCTGAACGACATATGATGGCGACCACAGCTACATGCTCCATTCCTTATTGAAGATGCTAAATGATCCAGCTGGCGTTAGTACTTTACGAATTATTGCCAGTGCACGTCGCAACCACTGCATCATGTGCAATTTAATGGCAGTTTAGGTGGTATTGCTAGGAGTGGCGGTGCAAGTTGCCACACACCTGGCATGTTCATGACAGCCTATTGAGCGTTCGCTACTCTTCTGTTCCTCGCGTAGACTCTAGTCACCACCGCCGCTGGCACAGACATGAAAGCCTGGCAAACGTTCTTGAGATCGTTTGTCTAATCCTTTTTCTTTGTCACTGCCAACTGGTAAGAGCCTCGAACGCGGGACATGCTAGCGTAACTGCAGCAAAGTGATGAACGGCCCGGCAGCCTCATGGTTTTTCAGCCTATCGAATCTTTATGACGCTCCTCGCAACTTCTGTCCCATAAATTGCTGCGCACGAATAATGGGATTATAGAAATCTTTGTGTAAGGTACATAACCCCGCTAACCTTTAAGCGATGATGATTGCGGCGTGAGCAGACCTTTTCTCTAATACAATCCTCTCGCAACATCCCGCAGACGACATTTATGAAAGTTTTTCTTAAGGGGGGCGATTTGTAGACAGTTTCTTTCAGGGAGCCGGTTGTAGGTGGGACACTTTGTGCCTGCAAAAACGGAAGAATACCGCATGAGAAATTACATTCCTCCAGCCGTACGACGCCGCCCTAAACACCGCCCAGGCGACCAGCGCCCGTTTCCCTACCCCTTCAAAATTCCCGTCGGTAACTACGCACATTAAGGGACCTTACTCATCTGAAAGAACCAGACGACCTAAGTGGCGATTTCGGCAGACTGGCTTTCAATTGCCATAGGATTCTGAGCGACAAATCGCACTGCGTGCACATTCTACAAAGTCTTATGCCTCATCCGTTTTCTTCATAAGCAGGATGGACACCATTACAGGCACAGTTTTCATATAGAATTAACACGAAACAATCCAATCAATAAAAAATTTATAGACTTCAACTTATGTTTATTTAATATAATAACTTATCACAATCAATTTGGAGAGAACAAGAATTCAGGACAAGTTAAGTTAAGATGGGTGGTTACATGTCGCCGTCAAAGGCAAATGTTCTCATTTTTCATGTTTTGTTCCATATTAAAGGGCACTTAGAACTCCAAAAAAGGGTGACTGATTAATTTGTGTCAGACACTGGATTACTGGGATGGCGTTATCACGACAATGAGAGGTGAGCAATCCCAAAACATCAACTAATATCGCAAACGGAACAAAAATTATAAAATTGTACCTACAGAGTTTCTATGATGACGACAACGGACACCAATGTACTAAGTGTATAGGTTACTATCAATACAATACAGTCTTAGCAATAGGTGTCACTGAGCGCGCGAGCGACGCGCCGGTGCGGTTAACGTGCGCGACGATCGCGCGCGCAATTGTCATGTACTGCGGTCGTGAGTCGATATATGACGATAACTGTAGCAAGGCGATTTAGGACACGAGATTACGGACTTTGGTCTGCGGAACAGTACTGTCGCATATTAATAGCTGAAATTCGCCACTTGCGTGGGCAATATCTGTGACATCGGTCATTACGTATGGAATGAACTGTAACGACAACCTACATCTCCAGTAGATAGATCATCGAACAGTTTTAAAACAAGATTGTCAGCGCGGCTAAATAACGGGAAATGGGAGCTAGTATCGAGGAACGAAACACGAAAAACAGCCAGAAATACGCTAGAGACGCATAGAGCAGTATTACCAGCTCGATGTCAGCGAACAGACGAGTCGATGGCAATTGCGATCGTAACTCGTCGATGGCGGCAAGATCAAGTAAGGCAGAATCCAGCTGACGTGCTGGATCATCACAACTCTCGCAACCTGAAGCAAAAAATGATTAAAATCGGATTAAATAGCGAGTTTTACCTCCCAGGATCCTGTTTCTTGCCACGTGCAAAGTTATGGGTACGCAGCTGCAGTAGCGTGCCATCCTCTCCGCTCAAAAATTCCAATCCCCGCCCCTCGGGTGTCGCCTCCTGGGTCCGCCGCGGTTTATCGAGCAATGGTCACGCAATTATAACCATCAAATAGCGCAAAAATTCTTGCTTCAGGATTTAGCGTGGATCAGAGACAAGTGGAGAATGAGTTTTGAATCCGCAATGAATGTACAAAAATTAGTAACACAAAACGCTGAGAACTTTCCGGACAACCTAATACTATGCTCCAGCCCCGTTCCCGGTGCGGGACACTTCTGAGGCGAGAGAAAACAGGTACATTGCTGGGCGATGCTTGCGGGACCCGCTAACTTCCATCGGTGGAAACGGAGTCCTCGGAGGTGAGGGTACAGTTTTGGTCATTAGATTCGGTCAGCTATGTTCAATTAGAAAGGCTTAACGCAATAAATTCCTCGTCCAGGGTTAGCTGGAGATATAGGCACAACAGTCAGCCAATGAATAACGTTTGCCTGAGGAGCGCGGCCCGTTGATCGACCATTCACGGCGCTCATTTGAAACAATAACCCGTCGGAGAAGAGAGGAAGAAACACTGGAGGAGCTCGCACCCGCCTCTGAACATCTAATAAACACATATGGAATAGACCTGATGAAGAAACAGGTAGCGTTTGCTCTGAAAATGCAGTCCACGCTGATCGCATGGGCGGAGAGAAACAAAATTTGTGGTTTCCTCTCTGGCCCCTCTTATTCTATTCTCTTCCCGATAGAAGAGGGGAAAGGGAAGAGCCAAGAAAGCTCGGCTGTGTACAGTGCTCGCGCTGATATGAACTGGTGGATCTGGGAGTAATTGAAAAAGCTACTGGGTTAAATAAGGACACAGGACAAGAAATCGCTAGACTGCATGGAAACAGGGTGTGTAGGCATGGAGCTCTTTTCACTTCAGGAACAGGTGATTGCTATTATACTTATAATGCTTATTCGATTTCCACCACCGTGGGCGCAGACCGAGCTCCTGCTAAGGCTGTACCTTAAATGATACCGTAACAAAATAACAAAAATGCCTAAAGCTACCTATTGATTGTCCCTGCGAACTCCTCCTCTCGGGCCCCCCGACTGCTGCTGTGTGGGATAACGGATGACGCGCGGTTTGAAAGCCATCACCACTTCTGGACCACCCTGTCGTTTTCCGCCGCTTTGTCGGAGTACTTGCCGATCACGATCTACTTCAACATCCTCGAGACGCTGCAATACTCCCATGAGCTGATCGACAGAACTTCTAGGCCAGTAGAAAACCCACCTGTGTGAGAGTGAGCTTTTGTTGGATCGCAAGACGAAGCAGCTGATTGAGAGTTTTCTTTTCCTCCTCACTGTTGCGCTGATCCGCTTCCAGTTCTTCGACCTAAAGTAGTATTATACGGTCAAGCAAAACCACGAAGAAGTCTCGGAGGGGGGGGGGGGGACTTACTGTGCTGAAGTTCTTCACATCGAGCAGTGAACATGGCCCGATGACTGGCAAATGTGGCTGCATCCTCCTTGAGCTGCTTCAGCTCACGTCGCATGCGTTCACTGATCTCCTAAAACAACGGTTCGCAAGAGGTCGCAATTAGGGTCACCAGGTAGAGTCGGACCTGATGGGCTTTCTTGTCAGCCTCGTATTTGTCCCGAAGTGAAGCCAATGCTGACTCGGCTGTTAACTTGTTCGACTTGAAGGCCACAGCTGCGACGGGTTGGAGATCTGAATCGGCTGAAAAGATTAACTAATCTGAGATGGAGCTGACAAATGAGATTATCTCAGTTTGACGGCATATAGTAACTCGTCGCAGGTACTCGTCAAGAGATCCAACCTTCGTTGCCGCGACGCGGCTGGGCTGCAGCAGGCGTAAAGCGCAGTACAGTTTGCACAAGGGCGAAGGCTTAATGAGTGACTCACGCGCAACCAGGCGATCTACATGACGAGTAGCGGTTTAGTACTACAGCGGGCCTCCTAACCCACATGCATCTGCTTCTCCCTCCGACGGCAGTTCCTAAAGGTGTCTATTTTAGTCGGCTTCGCTGAGTGAATTTCGGGGGCACAGTCCGGGGAGAGAGGGGGGGGGGCATTGTGCACTTTAGCTGCTTCCCATTGCCGTGTTCAATGCTTTACAAGGGTTGACAGGACTTCTTTACAGCGTGCTGGAAAAGATAGTTCTCTGCGACCTTTGGTATCGACTTAAGCTCATAAGCCACGAGAATACTCAACAAATCCAATATAATCATCGCTACGCAGACCCCTGCAGTTCGCCAACAATTGCGAAGCAATGCGACAGCCGCAAGACCGAGACCGGGATTAACCAACCTCCAAACCCGCGTCGGCAGAACTCCGCCAGTTAATCCTACAAACGGGCACAATGCTACTTTGGTTGGAATCTCACTCGTTCAGATAACCTACACCACACACTAACTAGGGAGGTCGTTCAGGACGTGGAGCGCTTTTTGAAAACGGTTTTTGCATGATGTGGGGTCACGTGCATGGAGTACCAAACTGGTGTTCATTTTTCCTGAACGCCTCTGGGAATGCCAAAAATGGAGTGAAAAAAGTCCATGGAAACCGACTGTTATTGAGCCTGAATGGGCTCTAAATCACTCGCAAGTTCGGCCAGTTGCTGCCTATAGGGTCCTTATAAAGGTTGTACTGGTATCTATGAGAAAAGTGGTCGTCAATGGGGTCTTACTTGTGGCACGTAGTTAAGAGTCGACGGCCAATTCGATGGGCTCTTAAGCAATCGAAGTGGTGCCTGTGCCAACGATCGGATGGCCTAGTGGATAGCGTGGAGGATTCCCAAGCAGACAGGGCTTGCACGTTTTTGCATTTTTTATTTTCCGTTGTTGTCGCTTCCATATACGTCTGTTAATGAATTTTACTCGGATATCTGCCATTTATAGGCACATCTAAATAGTTATGACGCCCGTAGTCGGTGCTATTCAGCAATTTCGATTTCACATACCATTAAGCAAGAACTTGTCTGAAAGCTGAGCTTATGTTATTCGATGCCCTGATCATGACTATGGCATTTACTTTCAGCTCTAGTGCCATTTATCTCCAATTTGGAGCCAAGTCTTTCTCCCACGAGCCAGTCTGGAGTCGCTAGTGCGTGACTTTGAGGGACTTGCAGGGCCATTCTGACGCCAGATTGGATTGACGTCAAGAATAAGTGTCAGAATCGTGATCAGGACCATCGATTACCCCTATAGGCAAACTTTCAGCCAAAAATTTTTTTTGACTTTTTTGAGTCTGTGCATTGGGTTATGCTCAAGAGTCACTTTGTTGAAGTCGTACTTTTGCTGGTTATCGAAACCCTCATTCAGTGGTACGGAAACAAAAAACTAGCAACAACCATAAACGCCATCGAAAAAAAGAACAAAATAGTCATCATTCCTCCAGGTGCATTTGATGAAGGGAGAAATCGGGATGAGTCTCGGTAGGGGTAGAACGACATCTTCGTTGAGCGAGCCGTCGCGGGGGTCGACAAATGTCCAGGATGGTTTTTCACTTGTTCTGCGGCCACCCATGCCCATGCCAAGTATGAATGGACCTTATGAGCACCAAATCCGCGATGCGGCTGCCCGGCGGCCCACCACGCGTCATCGCTACGTCATCGCG